TCTCATGAATAAAACACTGTACAACATATGACGTTTCTACCCGGTGTATTATATTCATTGAGAATTTTGGCAGCTAAGTAAGTCCGTTAACCACGCACAAATTTAACAAGACCCCTATTCTAGAGTGAAGTATCCCTGTAGATTTATTTAATAGGCTAGATGGTATTAATTATTTCTAGCGGGGTGAGCTCTTTAGGTACACCTCACTTTAAAAAATGTTTTCTCCAAAATTTGGATAGGACGAGCTGTAAGAATTTCACTACCATCTAGATAAAGCCGTGGTCTATCGATGTAGGAAATTTAAAGAAAAAACTTGGAGCCGTTTTGAAGAAAACGGCGAAAATGTGATTTTTAGCAAAACTCTCTTTTTTGAGCTTTACAACGACAATTAGTAAAAAAACATTTATTCAATGAGTTTTTAAGATTTGATGCTGATTTTTCGTAAGGCTTATCCGCAATACTTGGAAATAGATATGTGAATACTTCAAGGCAATCCATTCAATGTTATTTAACGTTTCTACAGCGCGATGTCTTATATGCTTCAAATATTGGATTGAATTTTCAAGCGGCGTCATAACTTTTTTTCTGCCCAAAACTTTCCATCCAAATTCATACAGAGGCTGCAATAGTACTAGATGATAAGATTCTGAAATTTTCAGAAAAATCGTAGCTGAGGATTAGGAGAAAAAAGCCAAAAACTAAAAATAGCACAGTTTGATTTTGGGCCGTAATAGGCTAAACATTTGATAAATCTTAAAACAAAATACACTGTTAGAATCTAGGATAATCCAAGCACATCATATGAAAAATACAGTTAAATTGACGTAATAGTTTTGCGAAGGGAGCGAGAATAAAATTGTCCAAAATTCGCTCTGAATTAGTTTGGTCCCACCTTAAAGCTCACGTGACTAGCTGGAACCGAATTGTCGCTTTTAGTCCAAAACTCGGTTGTCCGCGTACAAACACTCAGATATCGCATTGCATGTGTTTTGCCGGTTTCCTCTTTATTCCCATGCGTAACATGCTTGATTAAATGGTATTTTTTAACTCAAAAATTGTTAAATTCATAGGCCTAATCCACTGTTTTCCCATTTCAGACCACGTGTCATTCCCTAGAGGATCATTTCTTTGTTCAACGGATGCCCAAGAGAAGACACATGAATATGGATACTACCAAAACAAAGAATCTTATTCTCGAGAGAATGACACGGGGTCTGAAATAGGCAAAACATTACGCCCGAGACGTGGATTAGGTCCAATCTACTTTCGTTTTCTAAATGGATCTGTGACAGCTGCTTTTGAAACCAAATATGTAAGTAATTTAGGGTCATGGTTAAGGTCTAGTACGTACTTTATACTATCGCGTTTCCTTGTATAAACAATCCCCAGTTTCGTCTGTGGCACTCGATGTCGACGTCGTTTTGATCAGTGCTTTCAAGATGTTGCTGAAATATTTTCTGGTTATTTCTACTGTGGTCGTTACTTTCGTGCCATATAAAGGTAAATATTAAAAAAATTAATTCTTTATTCTAGTTTATAGTTCATGTGGGTGCGAGAAAAAAGAGTATGAAGAAGAAAAACGATATCTGATGAGGTCAACGAAGCAGACAAACTTGGAGCATATAACTCGACAATTTCATGTAATTTAACCATCTCTGATTAGAATTACGAAAGCATGTTTACTCTCCTTTTTTCCAACTAGGCTTATGTATCGAGTTCCGATATTGCCACTGTTAGATTCGTAATGCGTTAAAAAGCGGCGAAATTCCTTTACAACAACCCGGAAGTGAGCTAAATCAATCAATCCCTCTCCACTGAAAACATTCACTGATAGCTCGATTGGCGATAAAAATCTAACATATAACCTCGATATTTGGAAGTATATTTTAGTTATCCAAGTTACAAAGCCTATCCATAGTAAACACCCGGAACTTTACAACCTTTAGAACTGATTGTTACACTCGCGTTATGTTTTTTTGAATTGACCCGATGTGATTGTTCTGACATTCCTTTGTACTGTGCAAACGTTTTTCAATACGTGCCTTGTTTAACATAGAAACACAAAATGTTGAAGAGAGTCTTAATTACGTATTGTTTATCAATTGAAACGGTTTTCTTTGTTATTCACAAGGCTAGCTTTATTTTTGTTATAACCCTCATTATAAATGCGAGGTCAAGATACAGTCAATTCAAAAAACGTTGTCGTCGACCGGCTCAAGCCTACGCGACTGGACCGAAAGGAACATGGGTAAAAATTACTGAAGCGGTTAAATATTCGTTCTGAATTAATTGTTCCCGCTAGTAATAAGATAATAATGGCGAGAAACAGTAGATATGAAATGGGCGTTCTACATCACGGGCTCCGTCGGGCTACCCCGGACTGAAAGCGGGGGAGACTAGATTTTCCACTCGGTCGCCTTCGGATCTTGGATTTCGGATTCATAGGGGTTTTGAGATCATCTTCTAGTTTAGATTGGTAGAGAGTGACGGGGTGGTAGAGTCTGTGCTTTGGGATTGCTGACGGATGCAGTAGGAGAGGGTTGATCAAAAGTAGTAGTGGGTTTTAATGGAGTAGGAGGAACCTCGGTCAAAGTTGAGGACTTCACTCGGCTGGGTTCGAAAGAAGGGGTCCTAATTTTCGACGTTAACCGCTCTAGAAAGGAAGGGGTCTTAGGTTTGGGCGTTAAATAGCCACTGTCGCTGGCGAGACTTGTTGAGGGAACGTTTTTTGGAGTCGTAAAACTAGGGGATGGCATTGAAAGACTCTGACTAGTCAAGGGCGGTACTATGGTTTCCTGCTTGGGTTTGTATACAACAGTGCTTGGAAGTTGCTGTTGTAGATTGAGGTATCGATTGTAGAGTCTAGTGTATTCTTTGATCTTCAGTTCCGCGGGAACATTGGATTCCATAAGAATGTTTTCCATCTGTTCCTTTAAATTCTGTATTGTTTTGAGTATGGGTGGTTGTAAATAACTTTGACGTTCGAAATAGTTAGCCATGAATGTCATAGTGGCATCAAACTCTCAACCATACTGTGATAATATTGTTGTAGGATTCGGCTGGAAAGCAGTCTGATCATTGGGGAGAACATTAGTTCTGAGTCTGCATTCTTCTGGTGTGTTTGGCTTCAGATCCACGAAAAGATATCCATAAGGGCGTTGTACAGCGGCCTCGTATTTTTGAATGAACTGTTCTGTCTTGCCTGGATACATCTGCTTTCCCAAAGTTATCATTTGTAGTTTATCTCTTGGGTTTTTAAAAAGAACGAGGTACGCAGCATTCAGACTCCAGGTGCGCATAATTTTTCCTTGAAAGTAAAGATTCTGCATAAGAAAAATGACACTCAGGTTTCGATGATGAGATCCTTTGGTGAATAAGATCATGATTCTCTTATCATTAGACATCTCTGTCATTTGGTCGTCAATCACAATCAAATTGTTGATATTAGCGTTAAAATAATCATCTTCATCCAGGTCGTGCGGTATGCCTTTTACGAACTCGATCCCGGGAATGGTTTTCATCATGTGGTCATAAGCAGATTGCCACTGAGCATAACTCCATGCGATGCGCTGTGGCAGAGGACTGATCACTTGTGTTGCATTTTCGAGCAAATTCTGAACCCAAACCGTTTTTCCGGAACCGGTCATCCCTGCCACAATGGCTGTGAAGGGATGGAGTAACTGAAACCTGTCACATTTCGTGTGATCTTCAACATTTTGAGGCAATGGGTACGGAGTGTACCGATGACTGCTTTTTCGCATTTGTGTTATGAGAGAGAAAATTAATGTTTTTACAGACTAAGCTAGACATCAGTTTTCTAATTACTATTTCTTATCGTATGAAAACAAGATAAAGAACGATCAATTAGTTATTAAAAATACCGATATAAGATTTCAGTAAGGCTACCATCACGCACAAGTTTAGATGATGGTATGCTTTGAATTTACAAGTAAACCTCTTAGCTCCTACCATTAGCATGTACACCTCTGGTTACACCCTAAACACTCTTTACCCCTTTGCTTAGTTATTTTAGCACTATTCTTTTAAATCTTATTATAGAAGTGTTCCTCGTAGACCTTTCTATACATTTACCATATATTCATAAATTAACTTTAGTTTAAGCTATGTTTAGTTCTATGATTTTCACTCGTATTATTCTTAAATGAGATATCACACTTAGGAATTTACTATTTCCTTTAGCCAATCAAGACTCAGCGATAATATCGCATTGATTGTGGAGTGACACCAGTCATGAAGTTATTATAAATAGAGCTCATGTAATTAGTTTAAGTCAGAACTGAAGAAGAGAAGTGGAATAAAGATCCCGTAGCTCGTACCGAGAGCGGTCCAGCCCCATAACATTTGTTCTTGACCGATCCAATACTTTCGTTGCGAATTGTCCAACTTATGAGTTCGACTTAAATGAGTGTATAAATTATTTTGCTGCTTCTCGCAAATAGGACAGGACCGTGTCATCGTGCGTCTTTCGAAGAATGAGGCGAATTCGTATAGGGAGCGCTATTTATACGAATCCAGTTGGCAAGCGCAGGAATTCTAGTCTTCATAAGATTCTAGTGTAGATAGTAGATCTAGTGTAGATTCTATTGTAGATTCTAGTGTAGATTCTAGTGTAGATTTTAGTGTAGATTCTAGCGTAGAATCTAATGTAGATTTTAGTGGAGATTCTAGTGGAGATTCTAGTGTAGAATCCACACTAGAATCTACACTAGATCTACTATCTAAACTAGAGTCTAGTGTAGAATCTAGTGTAGATAGTAGGCAGCCAGTTGTATAATAAATACGATAGTTCTTTCCGTTATCACTTCATTTGAACAAACCATCCCGAGAGAAAACATGTCTGTCTTACTTCGTGATAACTTTGGCTATTTGCATCTTTTGACTAAAATGCCCAGAGCCTCAAAGGAAAGTTTTGCTTGCGACAGCCACTCCCGAACAAGTCCATGTAATGTGTGAGGTCTGCCATAATCTATTGAAAGGAGGAATTCCACTTTCTTACTTTCAGAAAGGAGCACTAAGACCTCATTCTAAGGACATCAGAGCGTTAGCTGACTCAGCAGTACCGTTCAAAACAAAGAAAACGTAACAATTTTGGCCAAATTAAGGGCGGAGGATTTGTGGAAGATATTGCATCACCGTTAATGTCGGTTTGAGTCTTTTCCTGTTATAAATAGCCCTTCGCTATCCCGCGAAATTCATTTGCACCTTGTTAAGACTTCTGTGATCATCATGAAGACTAAGTGGGTTGAGGATTCTGAGGAAGAAGTATCAGACTCCGAGACCTCTAGTGAGGAGGAACCTTTGGATAATGAAATTGATAAGATGGTACAACAGCTTCCTAAAAACCTACCGAGGGAGAAGGCTCTAAATTTACTTCACAGCATGGCCGCTTCTAAGGACATTTTGTATTGGAATTCACATGGAGAAATGACTTTTCATCAACGAAGAATTCTATTAACCAACATGATAGAGTTGATCGAGTATGCTTTACAGGTTTAAAAACGTTTACTAATGGATTGGCAGAACTTGGGATTAACAAGCATCTCATCGACAATCAGAAATTGTTGGTAGATCTTGTTGTCATTCAACTGATGACCAAGAAAACGAAGGAGAGCAGGAGGAAGAAAATAGCGTTAATGATAAAGATGGTGATGATGATGACGAGGAGGAGGAGGAGGAGGAGGAGGAGGAGGAGGATGAAAAGGAGAGGGTATGGACGAGGAATTGGATTATGATAAACAGGAGCAAAACAAGTGCCACGTTTGTCAAGAACCCCGGCAGTTTTCAAAGATCTTTATAGTTCGGTGCCCAACTTGTCATTGGCACGAAGGTCACTACTCAAGGAACATGAACGAGGGTGTCCGGTGTGACATTTGTACGAGCGTGTTCCCTGCGAATCAACAGAACACAAAGAAAACGTTTTACTGCTGTAATGACTGCGATTCGATTCACCGGATGTCATTAAAATTAAAGAAATTGAAACTCATCGTACCACGACAAGAGAGCGAAGAAATGGATGAAGAGGAAAACCATGGAATGAACCTTGACTACTTTCCTTTATTAGCCAAGTGGGAAAATTTCTAATCAAATATAACCGTTTCAACAGCAATAACTAAACTGTAAACCAATAAAGTTGTACTGTCGAAATATGCAAAATAAAGAAACTTGAGTGAAAAGCACTTGTGGTCAATATTTACTTTATTCAGCGAACCTCGACAATACAAATTCACGTCTGATGATAATCAATGTCTGCATGACCTTTTACCCGAACAGAGAAACCGCAAACTGCGAATCATAATAGAGGTCATAATTTACGATTTTGGGCGACTTAGAAAATTTCGAGTATAACTAAAATATTGTCAAACATTTCTCACAAATACGAGATCGAAATAAATATAATATAATCAAATTTGTCATGATGCATGACGTTCATTCATTATTTGAATATTACGCAGCGACAGTTGCACTGAGGCGAATCCGACTGGCAATCACGCAGATGAGAAGATAATGAGAACAAAAAAAAAAAATCTGTAGACATACAATAAATTAGGAATAACAAATCGAACTGTCACGCAAATTGAATACAATGAAAGAAAAAATTCCCTCCTGCCTCGAATAATAAAAATGACGTCACCCTCTACCAATCTAAAAATAGAAGATGATCTCAAAACCCCTCTGAATCCGAAATCCAAGATCCGAAGGCGACCGAGTGGAAAATCCGGATCTAATTGATTATCCGCAATGAATCCGCACGATCCTGATGTAGAACCCCCCCTCCCCCTACTGGCCCGTGATGTAGAACGCCCATTTCATATCTACTAGAAACAATCCATCAAATGCATGTCTTCGGGTTTAGGGAAAGAGAAACAAAGTAGTTATGATTCAGTTCACAATTCCGAAAATATGAAGGCACTAAAAAAGCCTTTCCTTCAACACTTCCTGGCATAACTAGTCGAATTGGCCGAAGAAACTTAAACAGACGTGGTGTTATCTGCTCTCGATATGGCAGGAGCGGTTTGGCCGTAAAATGGACGAAATCATTTCCAAGTTGGAAAAGTTGGATAATATTACCTTACAAATCCAATTCTTGCAAGACTGCGTAAGTGCAATCAATACAACCATTACCAAGATGCACAATGAAGTCGACAGTCTTAAACTATTATTACGCTGGATGAAACAGAGAAAAGCGTAATGTTCTTGAACACTACAGTCGAGGAGGAAAAGAAGAAGCTCGAAAAATCAAATAAAGAATGCAGGGCAGAAATTACAGGAATAACAAGTTCATATGTATTAACAATAGGTCAGTCTATAAGAAGAATCTATTGGAAAGTGGTTTATGTAAGATTGGCAATCTATTTGATATGCACGGCCAGTTCAAAATAGAACAGTTAACTTTTCGGGTTAGTCTGTCTCCGTTAGATTATTTTTTTAAATATTAAGTTTACAAGACGCCATTCCTCAAGAGTGGCGTAAAATCCTAAAAGAAAAGAAAATACTTATGGTCACTTATATCCAAAAATATCCAGCCATCACATCCAGATAGATTTTATTTACGAATAAACAAGGAAAAATTGATATAACAAAGATACAATCGAGAACATTATATTGGTCATTCATTAGTAAAAAAGCGGAACCCCCAACTGCAAAAGAGAAATATATAAGGCTTCTAGGAGTAACAAGATGTTAGAATGGAAGGAAATTTATTTGCTTCACTTCAAAACCACACTAGGAACTAGGTTACGAGAGTTTCAGTATAGATTATTGAACAGAATTATCTTCACGAATCAGCTACTCTACAAAATTGGCAAAGTAGACTCATCTTCCTGTTCTTTTTGTGAGAAAGAAGTAGAGACTTTGGAACATCTTTTCTTCTTTTGTCAAAAAGTCCAAACGTTTTGGAACTTTGTCAGTAAAATGCTAAACGATAAAAATATTTTTGAGGGAACAGCAACGTTCAACGAAGTATTCAGTTTGGAATCCTTCAATGCCAAAAATATCAACTTAGTTGTAAAATTGTAAATCATCTGATTCTAGAAGCAAAATATCTTATTTATTATTGTAAATTGAATGATAAACCTCTCTCATTAGAAATCCTTAAAACAAGATTAAGAAGGACCTATGATATCGAATTATTTATTGCGAGGGAAAATAATAGAGTAAAGTATCACCAGGAAAAATGGAACCCTTTATTTCCAATTTAATTATTTAATTGTATTAGCCGCACCTTACTATTACTTCTACTATTATTATTATTATCATTTCTTTTCCCTCTTCTTTCTCTCTTATATTTTGCTTTAGCTATAAATATATATATATTTTTTGTTTTTGTCTATCCTATTGTTAAACGAGTGTAAGT